TGGGCTGCTTAAACTCCCTGCCGCCGAGCAGATTGGATCCCCAGATAAAGCTATGCCGGAGTCTCGTGTCGGGAAAAAGCTACCCGATCCTGTTTTATACGGGGTCTACGGGTAACTTCAGGCTGACCCTTCGAACTTGTGCTACATCTGACTGCGTTGGTAGATACCGTATGCGGTCTGCAGTTGGAGATTCAATGTGGAATTCACTTGACTCACTTCTAGCAGTTGACTACTTCTACGCGCCGCTGGTGAATCTTATATGTGTTGTTCTTGTGTTAAGTATTATTGTTCATTACCAACCATCATGTGATTATTCTATTCAGTAAGCTTCCCTTGGTTACAACAACCACATGACTTAATTTTTTAGTTTTAAAAAAAATTGAAACATGGCAAATAGACAAGAATCAAGACCTGTTAGCGCCAAAACGACTTAAAATTTCTGTTCAGCGCACTCGATCGCCTATAATCACACGTCAAATATCATTCAATAAAATACGCGTTCCCCAGTGCAATCAATCTCGATTTGGAGGGAAAATTATCAAAGATATTTAATTTACAAAAGTTTTGAACTCTTGTGTATATCTATAGGGTAATATGTCACCACACACATACAGATGATATTTATTTATCTTTTTGTGCATTTTGTAGCGACTTAGACTGAATTCGAAGCTGATTGGGTTAAATAAGACATTTCCTTTGATATTAATTGTAAAACTGTCTGTTAATAAAAAGTACACTTCTTTGTATATCCCATTAATTTCATTGCGGTTTCGTGACTGGAGTCATTTATAATACTTGCGAACTTTCAGTTTTACAAATATCTCACGGACTATGTAAAGAGTAAAGCTTTCAGCTGACTTTCTCTCGGAAAAACAAAGTATACTGCCGGGCCCATTCTTCAAATGTCGCAGTTTCCTGTCACGCGAAAGTTGATAATATAAGCCAGAGGGATTATTAATATTTCACTAGCTTGGCTATTTGCGGAAGTTTCGTCGGCAAATTTAAACACGAAACAAGTTTTGATTGATTTGTCGGCACTAAGAGTGGGGTATTGTTATATTCTGGAATATGATGGCCACTTATTTATGGAACAATAGTAAATAAAATGATCTCGCTGGTCATTGTAGAAAGTTTTGTACTCACAGGGAAATAGATGTCTATAAGGAGAAGGATTCTTAATTGTACTTTACTGATGTGTCTGTCATTTTTGAGAGATCTCTGTCAAATGTCCATTGTTATAAAGGGTCAGGTTTTTACGATGATGTCATTCCTAACGTCCGAATTCAAGAATTCATTAATCTTTTTTTTAAGCTTTGAGTAGGAGAAATCAATAAAACGAATCGGAAATTTAAGTGTTGGATTGACCTTTAACATACAATTTACGTATTGATGGACCATCCCTTTCCCGTGTTATCTTAAAATTTGAATACTTTTAGTTGCTCCAAGGTTGTAGAGTTTCTTTCATGAAATTAATGAAATTCAAAGTTAAAATATTTTATTAATCGTTGCATTTCTATCTGAAGTTTTGGGATGAGGGGTCATCATTATTTACATTATTTGCATTTAGGCTGGAGGCGTGGATGGGGCTATAAATGTCGGCGTGGAAAGTGAATTAGGCGAGTAGAGTTCAATTCTGTTTCACCCATTTTGGGCTAATGCTCTTGAAAAAGGCGTAAATAAATCTTCTCTCAACTATGGGTTAAATAGCAGAGTAGGATGGGCATTTTTTTTTTGCCTTAAGACGGCAACCAGTCTAGGAGAAGGTACGTTCGGAATTCAAAAACAGCCTTAAGAGGGTTGGCCTGAGTCGCGCTATCTTTCCCTAGACACACCCACTTCTTCTATACCGCATTACAGAGAGAGAGAGAGAGAGAGAGAGAGAGAGAATTTGGACAAATTACCTTATATTTGTTGTTATAATCCCAAAATTTCGGTTGTTGTGGTTTCCGGCCTTCCTCACGGGCTTGGATAATCTTCAGCGAAAATTCGAACTGAACATAATACTTTTCCAAAAATTTTCAAAATTTCTAATTTTTAATTCAGATGCAAAATTCAATATTTTTAATCTTCAAAAAAATCGAATATTCGAAAGATTTTCATATTCAATTCAAAATCTTGAATATTCAATTAAAAATATGATATTAATTCAGAATATAATGTTAAATATGACAGTCAAAATATTTAAAATATTCAAATATTCAAAATAGATAAAATATTCAAAATATTCAAATATTCAAAATGTTTAAAATATTCTACATATTCAAATATTCAAAATATTTGAAATATTCAAAAATATTCAAATATTCAAAATATTTAAAATATTCTACATATTCAAAATATTTGAAATATTCAAAATATTCAAATATTCAAAATATTTAAAATATTCAAATATTCGAAATAATTTAAATATTCAATATATTCAAAATAATTAAAATATTCAATATATTCAAAATATTTAAAACATTCAAAATATTCAAATATTTAAAATATTTAAAATATTCAAAATATTCAAAATATTTAAAATATTCAAAATATGATATTAAGAAAATCTTGATATTCAATTCAAAATATCCAAATGCAGAATTCAAAATTTTTAATTTTCAAAAAATTTCAAAATTTCTTTCACAATTTATATATAATATTTATGACATCATATTCTTCTTTATCTTCTGTTTATGTCTAGAGACATTACGTTTTGGTTATTTTTTTATTTATTGTAAACCCTGTGTCATAGTTCTGATTATAATCGCACTAAGGGATTGAACTCACAAATATTATGTGACATAACTGTGTGTTCAATCCCAAGTCCGGGCAGTAAGGAAACAAGATTAGCAATAATCGAACAATTAACCAAGACGTGATATCCCTAGACATGGTCAGTGGATTAAAAACAATCTATTCTCGTAGATTAAATGAAGGGTTCAGTTCAAGAATATCAGTGTCAATAGTCACCTGAAGAAGGCCGGTGGACCCAACAATCGAAACTGCGATCATAGCAACTAATATGAGAGCATTAATCCAACTGTAGATAATAAGTCCAGTTCGATAATTTGATATTAGCAGGTGATCTAAAAAATGACCTAGAATCTCTTGTTAACAGGAGCAGGGAGTGGCTTGCTAATTTTAACCCTCCCCCCACACACACAAAGGAAAATGTTCGCTATTAATCACCCGAAACACCCTTTCCTGCTTCCGATGCTGATGCTAAACTCAATGAAAGTGACACTTTGTACCTTTTCGGTTTAACATTCTCAGCTGATACGAAATTGAAATACTATATTGAATGTAATGTGAGGCCTGCTTGCTAAGAAAACCAGGTCATTGTGCTGTTCTAGACAATATTTCTCTTCAGTATCTATCTGGCATATTTATACGTCCACCATTCGTCTATGCCTTGAATATTGCTGCCACATCTGTTCCGAACACCCCCCGCTGTACATTTAAAAATTCTTGATAAAATCCAAAGAAGAATCTACAATACCAGGCTTTAGTCACTTTCCCACCGTCGTAATATAGCTTCCTTGTACATTTTCTATAAAAAAAAAAAACCAAAAAACTTTCATATTAATTGTTTAGATGAACTGTTCGCTATGGTACTTGTTATGGTCCGGTTCCTTGTACCACGGTGATAGTCCAAGGTAGAACCAATAAAGAAGAACTCGAACACGGATATGGAATAACACAGATATATTACAAACAGGAATATATACAGAGAAGTGAAAGTGTTAGTATGAACAATCAGGTTTAGTAGAGAGAACAATGTAGTCTCGACCAGTATTACTATTCCAATGTCTTGCAGTAATTGTCTGAACGCGACTCTGTTTCGGACTGCCTCTGACTCGACTCTTAACTCGACTTGAACTACTGACTCCACTTGAACTACTGACGATATTCAGTCACCCCCCACGAGGGTGTCATGTGGCACAAGGCCTTTTTAACGTGGGCAATTCCCAAGCCATTAGGGTCGGCCAAAAAATAACCCATTTGAACCCGTATAAACGGGTTCTGGGCCGGTTTTACCTCCCCGAAGGAGGCTACGCCGGAAGGGCGGAGTCTCCTTCGGGTTCCTTCCGCCCGTAGGAAGAGAGTTTAACCGAACAGTCGGTTCAGACTTGAACTACTAACGATGTTCAGTCACCCCCCACACGAGAGTGTCATGTGGCACAAGGCCTTTTTAACGTGGGCAATTCCCAAGCCAAATTTAAGCGCAGCACTAGATTGGCGGTAAGGTCTCATCAATTCACAATTGAATTGGCTAGATGAAACCATAAGTTCTATTCTAACAGTTTATTTTCTCGCATTTCTCACTTTTTGGAACTCCCTTCCGACATTATGCTTTTCAGCCAACTTTGACCTTCAAAAATTTAAATGCAATGTCAATTGTTATCTACTGTCTTAATTACTCTTCTATTTTTCTTGCTACATTGCTCTTTTTTTCATGTTCTTTCACACTCACTAAACTATTGTGTCTTCGTGACTTTATTGCCTTCCATGGGGTGATATCATTAAAATAAAACAAAATGAAGTAATTGCTGCATTTTAATTCCCAGTAGAGTTGAGACAACATCTATGGAAGACCAAATTTAGAGATCCCTATAGGGACAAACATTCTTATTTCTTTCAGAAAGCTACTTGTACTGAATCTAAATTCCTTCTGTTTTCAGTTGGGCATTTCTTCGTTATTTATGCACCATATTCCTTTAGCGATCATGACTCTCCGCAATTTCCTATACATTAGAATATTTAACTCTTTACCATCACACATTGTCTCCCCTTACACACCCATTTACTAGTAAGTTACTCGTTGTTTTACTGTACATCTTCTTCCCTCTTCCTACATCATGTGAGTATTAAATTTTCCAAGCCGCCTTTTCTCCTAATTTAAGAAATTTCAACTGTATTTTTCTGATTTTAAATATTTTAAATAGCTTTTAACATTTTCTGTCCAGAGTATCCTCAGCATCCTTCTGCGGAACCAAATCACTGTCCTTAAAGGCGGCTTACGATCATATCACGTTGAAACATCGATCCCAGTACGATCGCTGAAGTTAAGCAACGTTGAGCCTGGTCAGTACCTAGATGGGTGACCGTTTGGGAATACCAGTTGCTGTAAGGTTGGATGTGCAGTTGGTGTAATGGCGCCGAATTGTTAATAGGGAAGCCGAGTTCCAATTCCAGTTTGGTTTGTTATATTCACTTACGCGCAAATAACCTTGGGAACCACCTCTTCTCTCCCTATCTATGGGTTAATTATTAAGACGTATCACTAAACCATTATTAACTCCTCAAAATTGTTACAATCTAAAAATATTTTCTGCCTTTAAATAACCTTCAAAGGGTTGATAACCTGTAAAAAAACGAATCCATCAAGTCAGCTCTGTCCTTAAAGCCTCTTCTTCTGTAAGGAAATTGACGAGCATTCATTAAAGAAGGATAGATATGGCATAGAATTTCAACACTTTTAGGGGTTGTTTCTAATGAAATATTTCTTTGTCTTAACACTTTAGTATAATGTTCTTGAGGTAACTAATTGACAATATCCTTGTATTATTTCGAAGTCTTGTTCTCATCTTGGTTATTATCTAGATGTTATAGACACAACGTTTTGGCCAAGTACCCACTGCTCATCATCAGTTATTGTACGTTACTGTTTAATTGGTGCTTCACTACCTGATCCAGGGATTGAACTCATGCTCACTGAATGACAATAGCACATGTGGAAAACAAATCCTATACTCACTACGCCACCGTCCCGATCACCCAATGGACACCTTATGAGAATCCGAGGCTACTTGGTTGAAACGTTGTGTTTATAAACGAACTAATACAGGTATATCTTAACACTGTTTAGTTTTTGGTAGGCCTATTTTGCTAGGACTTAAGGCCACATCGCGTTGAAACACCGGTTCCAATACGATCACCGAAGATAAGCAACGTTGAGTCTGGCCAGTAAATGGGTGACCGTTTAGGAATACCAGGTGCTGTAAGCTTGGTTGGGCTGGTGCTGTAATGGATAATGATTCGGAGTTGCTATTCCACTTGGGTTGGTTGTATTCGAAAACACCCATGAGAAAGGTATGAATCCATCTTTTCTCCTCCAGCTATGGGATAAATAACAAGACTTGTATCACTAAATTATTATTATCATCCCCCCAAAAAATATATATTTTGGCTTCAAATAACCTGCAAAGTATTGACAAGCCGTAGAAAACGAATATTTGAAACGTAGTTGTATGCCTCAAACTAGTCATGAAATGTATCGTTGGCCATTTTACTATCAAGTGGTGGTGTTGGTCATATATATATATATATATATATATATATATATATACACATTATTTTAGGACACCATATATATATATATATATATATATATATATATATATATATATATATTATTATTTAGGACACCATATATATATATATATATATATATATTACGATAAACGTGCAATCAATTTACAAATACATGAATTATTCACACAAAAACTAATGCAAAGGTTAATGATGAACAAATTTTCAATAGCCTAATACGGCAGAAATTTATATAAACAAGGATCATTTCATTCATAACGGATACGGAGGTTTTTGTATATTATTTGAATTGTTTGCGATGATGGATGTCTCGCCATTTAAATCATTAACCTTTGCATTAGTTTTTGTGTGAATAATTCATGTATATATATATATATATATATATATGGTGTCCTATAATAATGTATACACTCTTTAAATATTAATAGTTAATAATATATTACCGTGACGTGAGAACTTATATGGATGAAAATATGCAAGACACATGGATTGGAAGAAGAGGGAAAATTGAATACCCACCTAGATCACCAGATTTGACACCCTTGGATTTCTTTTTGTAGGGGTTTCTAAAAGACAAAGTTTACAGCAGGAACCCTGAAACAATTGCTGAAATGAGAGTAGCAATTGAAGAAGAATGTGCTCAAATACCAGAGGAAATGATACTGGGCGTTTGTAGGTCTATTTCTTCAAGATATGAAAAGTGTATTGAACAGAACGGCAACCAGTTTGAGCACTTGATGTGAACTCATCATTATATGAACATTCTGCCATTGACCCAAATAGCTTTTATCTTATTAATTTTCTTTGTTCTTTTTTGTATATTTTACTTTCAAATTCTTTAAATGTGTATTCTTTCTCTTGTATTAATTTTATTTACAAGTCAAAAATACATAAATTGATTAAGTTATAACGATTCAAAGAGTGTATACATTATTTTGGGACATGCTGTATATATATATATGCACGTGTGTGTGTGTTGCTAGTAGTTTTACTATAAAAGTATCTTTGTATACTTTCATAGTGTTTGGTTTTTGTTTAGGGTTTCATTAATTGCCTATAGCTTACAAGGTGCTTCCACTCCAGGTCAGGGTGGACTTGGAGACAACAGCAATAAAGGGGGTGGTTTCACACTCTTCAAAACCGCCAATGTCCCGAAAAGAGGCTTTGCTGCTGGATGTACTTTATCGTCATACCCTGGAATCTAATAATTAGCTTTGTGTCGCTATTGCAATGTGACTTCGATTATCGGTGTCGTTTCTTTCGCCGTGTCTATTTCGTTATCTATGCCTTCTTCATTTTGGCGTCCCAAATGGGAATCGTACGCTTCCGGTTGACCCTTTTGTTGTCGACCATGATTGCTGTCTCGTCCCCTCCGAAAAACGCCATCATATTAAAGATGTTTGCAAAAATGTTCTTTTCTTTTGACTTGACGTGTCTAGATCGAAACCAGACAGAAATTGAAAGACCAAAAGGAAATTCGTTTCTTATAATATTGGCAGCAAAAGTGTCAAAATAACAATAGCATTTCAGAGAGGGCGTTGCTCTCTTGCAGCGCAGGCGCAGACTAATTAAAACTATACTTTGTTTCCTAATTGCTTGTTTTCATCTCTTTTAAATTTGGTGATAATGAATTCTTTGAAAAGTAAAAAGTAAGAATTCGCTACGAATAAAGGTCTAATTACTTAAAAAGAAATATATATATATATATATATATACTCAAAAGTGTGAGAAGTTCCAGACGTCGGCACAAATTTGGGATTAAGATGAATAATAAATAATTTCCGTTTTGGGGAGCCAATTGTAATGACTAATATATCATTAATATATCATCTTGCTGACTAATCAAGCGTAGCAATTAAGAATAAATTCGGAGTACACTATCATATGACAATGTTTACACAAACTGCAAGGGCTTACAGCCACATGCTGTTGCAACATTGGTCCCTGTACAGCAAAGTTAAACAACGTTAAGACTGGTCAGTACTTAGATGGGTGACCACTTAAGAATCCCATGTGCTGTAATCTTGGGTGTGCGAATGGTGCAATCGATAATCCCTCGGAATTTTTAATTGGAAAGCCGAGTTCAAATTCCTGTTGGGTTCATTATATTTCCTTACACCCCAATACCCTTGGGAAAGGGTAGCAATCGATCTATTCTTCCCTCCAGCTATGGCTTAATTAGTAAAATTTGTATCCCTAAAAAATTATTTTCTTAAAAATATTATAAAAATATATCTGGCTTTAAATAACCTGCAAAAGGTTGATAACCCGTAGAAAACGAACCAACTAAACTAAACTGACTTTAATGGTATGTCTTATGGTCCGGTTCCTTGTACCACGGTGATAGTCCAAGGTAGAACCAATAAAGAAGAACTCGAAGGCGGATATGGAATAACACAGATATATTACAAACAGGAATATATACAGAGAAGTAGAAAATGTTAGTACGAACAATCAGGTTTAGTAGTAATTGTCTGAACGCGACTCTGTTTCGGACTGCCTCTGACTCGACTGACTGACTATTGACGGACTTAACTCCAGACTGAACTGTAGACTTCAGACGGAACGGTATTTAGTCACCCCCCCCCACCACGAGGGCATCATGTGGCATAAGGCCAGTTTAACGTGGGATCTCCGAGCCCGTGGGATCTCCGAGCCCGTGTGATCTCCGAGCCCGTGGGCTCGGCCAAAAATATGCCCTTTGAACCCGTATAAACGGGTTCAGGGTCGGTTTACCTCCCCGAAAGAGACCCCGCCCTTCGGCGTAGCCTTGTTAGGGTTCCTCCCCTCCCGAAGGCAGAGAGTTCAACTGATCAGCCGATCATCCGGTCACCCGACTTCAGACTGAACTCCTTGCTTCCTCTAGAGGCGCAGTATTTATTACGTATGGAATAGTCCATTATGTTATTATGGGTAAGGTCTCATAAAAGTATGTCAACATCTCTATGGGTTATTTAATGCTTAAATCGAAATATTTTGAAAACAGTTTTATGGCTTCAACTAAATATATTTTGAGCGCAATTGGACGCCTTCAACTACAGATAAAATATATTGTTGGCCATGTCACTTTAAGTATGTATTGTTGGTATTTTTACTATAAATAGCTATTGTTGGTTGGTTGAATTTGTTTAGCGTTATATCAACCTCAACGGGTTATGTAATGCCGAAATGTAAATATCCCGAACGCACTTTTATGCTTTCAACTACAAATACCTTGTATATAATTTTATACTCTCTGGGTAAAGGTATGTTTTTGAGATATATAGTTTATAGATCATAAAATGAATTGTTGGTAATTTTAATAGAAAAATGTATTTTCAGTGTTGCCTTGATTGCCATTTTGCTATAAAGATGTATTGTTGGTTAATTTATTATAAAAATGTACGGTTGATTTTTTTTGGGGGGGTAAGGGGGCTCATTACTTGCTTATATCTGGGACCCTAACAGGTGCTACCATCCCGGGTCAGGGGGACTTGAGAACGTGGTTCGATGCTCCACAAAAACAACAATCTCACGATTGAGGTAAAAGCGGAGATTTCCACATATTATTAAAAATAATAATTAATTTTTCTTTTGTTTTTCAATGTTAAATATTCTCGATATGAGACATTTTCTGTGTTAGTAATCCGAATTTTACCTGAATACGGTCACAAGACCAGAAACTCGTGTAGTACAATTATGTAAAACAAAGCATAATATTTTTTTCTAAATAAATCCACATTACAACCAAAAACGTTTGCGGCACCTCTCTTCTCTTCTTTTTAATATACATACTTTTCTCTCGTTGGAACCACTACAACCTCTTTCTTTTATATATATATATATATATATATATATATATATATATATAATCCTTCTTTTATAATTAAAGCATCCGGTAGAGTAAAAGGAACGCTAACTTGCATCGCTTGATCTCTTTTTCTGCTAGTTCTAGAGATGTTTTTCTATTTCTCGTAGATATTCTAATTCTCGGTTGTAAAAACCGTTTCTTAGTGAAATTGCTCTATGGAACACTAAAATATTACCGTGGACCCCAATTTGCTATTTTTTTATGTGTGGATCCCCAATAATATTACATGGACACCCAGGGATCATATGGAACCACTGGTTTATTTCAAACGATATACAAAGCACTCAAAATATGTCCATCTCATATAAAGATTTCGACGAAGCATAAACTACAAGACAAAATGCATATGTTCATCAGTAAAAGGATGAGCTCGAAATGCGATTTGCAGGTTGGGGAGACTAAAAGCAAGTAGGTGCTGAAGTTTAAATAACTGGTAAGTGTTTTCACACAGGACGGTAAATACGACACTGAGATTCCTAGGCGTATTTGGGATGGCCAAGGACGCATTCCAAAAGCTGGGTAGAGTATTGCAAGACAGGAGGATTTTTTTTTTGGTAACAAAGAAAAGAATACTGAGCTGTTTCGTGGCATCTGTCCTTCTTTACGGCAGCGAATGTTGGACGATTTCCTCAAGGATGAAGAAGAGACTCGAGGTGACGGAAATGTGGTTCTACAGAAGGATACTAAGGATATCATGGACCGAGCATGTGAGCAACGATGAGATCTTAGAGGATGCAAACAAGGAGGAGCCTTATAATTAACATCAGAAAGAGGCAGCTGAAGTTTCTAGGACACATAATGAGGAAGGAGGGCCTGGAGAATC